ATGATGGTCCCACGCGTGGGTTTGTCAAAGAAGAACTGCTTATCGTGTGATTACCGAACGCGTGCGTATGGATACCATCGTCGCACATCCACCTCTTACCGTCGAATGCGGATAACGACACCTCCTGTGTTATGCTGTGTATCTGATGCTTAAAGGACCGCAGGGAATTCATGTGATGCTTCTGAGACTTTTGACTATGAAGCACATCCACGTAAGACTGATGCGTAAGTTGCCTCTTAACTACGTATTTTCTTACGCCTTTTGCTTTCTTATCTGCGCCGTCCGTTTTGAGGACGCTGTACATCTTCGGTTTTAACCCAACATATTCCACGATGGGCTTGCCTGAAGTTTCATCCTTCATCTTTCCAATTACTTTCTTGTTCTTAGCAGAGTAGAGGGGATGGTCGCGCGGATAACCGCTGGTGTCGTATTCGTCGAGATCTTCGAGGTAGTCCGCGTAAATGTCGGGGGTTTCTATTTCCATTATTAGAGAGTCGGTGTCTGTGTAAAGGAGGTGGCAGCGGTCGCCGTACTTTGGTTTTAGTTTGTCGTAGTAAAACTCGTACATCAGCAACTTGGATAGCTCCAGCACGGTAAACCCGGTGTATACCGGCTTGTTTAGGAAAAGGTTGGCTTTCTTCATGTGTATTACGAAGAAGTTCAGCATATCCACGTAGCGCACAAACCCGGGCTGGGATACGTATCGCTCTGCTTCCTCGCGGGTGTTAGCAATACGTATGCTTACCCGCTTGCGGATGTTTTCCATGGTTTTCCCGAAAACGCTATTGTTCATTAACTTAAAGAGATTCTTTTCGAAGTCATTTTTGGCGGCAGTACGTTTTTGGGTATTAAAGTCAATGTAGGGCTGCATCCATGGTTCTTGGCGAAACTTTAAAGCGCGGTGCACCTTTGTCACGCGCATTCTGTGTCGCACGTAGAATTGCAGGTTGCGATAGTGAACTACGTACTTCTTCTTAGATATCAAGTTTAGGGTTAACTTGCGGTAGGGTTTGTAATTGGGGCACAACTTCTTTTGAAGCGGGGATAGCTGCTCGAATGGTATTTCAATTGCTTCCGGGGCAAGTGGGTAATCGTCGTGAAGGGGGTGAAGTTCCGGGGGATACTCCAAATCCACCTCCAGAATAAACCCTTTTCGACTGTCAGGCCTTATGCGCATGTAGTACTCTGGTTCACGCGGCGTTGCCCATTCGAAGTCCCGCACGGGCAAATGCTGGGACATTGCCCACCCGTAAAGATTGTTAGCATCCAGATAAGATATGTAAGTTGTTGGCTTTTCGGGGTCGTACCCTTCCACCTGGGGATTGTTGGCGCGCGCGTAGCGGTGGCTGGGGCCGCAAACGCCCCCGCGAATTCCGTCTTCCATGAATCTATACATTTCGTAGTCAGTTAGGAGATCTAGCTGGGCATCTGTTTTCTTCAGCAGGGCACTCCAAGATAGCCCGGGGGCTGTGTAGAAATTCGCTGGATCTAACCCGTAGTAAGACATGGACATCTTTCGGAAACTTTGAAATACGTCTGCTAGTAGTACGACGTCGGAGAGAAGATAAATGTCGTGGTAATCTCCCAGGTTTCTGCAGGCGCGCTTTTCCCACACCTCCTGCGCGTAGGCATACTCATCATCGGATATCCCCGCTTCATTTAGGGTGCTGTAGAAAGCCTCTTTAGGTGGAAGCTGCGTTTCTTCAAAGCGCTCCCAGGAATCCATGTATTCGTATGGATACACACCTTTTCTCTCTGCGTCGTACTCGTCGGAAATGGGTGAATCTTCGTTGTAACGGGCAAGATTGGCTAAGGAATCTGCCATGAACTGCTGGGAGTCCAGGAATTTCAGCTTGCCAATCGTTACGGACACATACCGTTCTTTGTTGTTAGGTATGCACTTTACTTCGTGACCCTCTACTCCCTGGAGAAGTAGGTGGGAATCGTATCCGCGAAGGTTGTGAAAGAACACAGGAATCTCCATGTTGTGGTCTATTCGGTGACTGCATTTCCAGTGCGCGGCACCTTTGTACTCGCCGGTAATCTCACAGCAATCCATTACTTTGTCTATGTAAAAGTCTTCCTCGAGTGGTTCGCCACAGTGGAAGCAGTGCGTAGAGGGCTTGCCGGGCTTTTCCCCGTCTTTCGCATAGCGTCCGCATGTGAGGTGTGCTTCCCCTAAGTACTCTCCGCTTGCCTTCCAAGCCTTCTTTACCCGGCGACCAAATTTGAGCACTCCCAGGTCGCACACGTGACATTTCTGGGCCGCGTGGTAATCTCGGAGGTTCTCTGGGGTTACCTTAGCTTTGCGTGGATACAGTCGGCGGCGGATTTCTTTCTCCTCTTCCTCCAGGGCTTCAAGGAACTTTCGTGCTGC